ATAAGTTTTTATCTTTTCTAGATGTAAATATTTAAAAAGGCATGGTTGAATTTTCAATACACAAAGTTTAAAACGGGTTGTATTTGAATTGGCATCGTCACAAGCGAGAGTAAATGATTCAGACTTTGTTTGTCTTAACTACTTTTTGTGTTTTTACATCCATGGATAGTTTTATTCATTTTCTAGAACCGCACAAACCGTCGAACATGTGTCGCGTGAAGAAGTAAACTCTTCACGTATATAGCAGGGGTTTTTTGGTCGAGCAAAGTTTGTACTTCTTCAGTCTGGGGTAGTCACCTTGATAGCAGCAGTCCTGGCCCGGTGTATCAGTCGATTATTCGGTGATTTGCAAAACTCACAACCGAAAGCAAATAATATGTTCTAAAGTATATCGATGTTTTGAGAATTGCTGTAAAAAAGTATGACGCGCGTCGTATTATTTATGGGTAGGTGTGGTACACAATCTATTTGATTTATTAGGTATGCACTACTCGACTATTGATGGCATATAAACATGGCTTGAACATGATGCTCTCAAAAATTCACCGTATTATTACGCACTTAAAATTAGGACAGAATATTCTAATAATTTTCCACGGGTTCACTTTAAGTAACTGGCTCGATTATCATCTAGTGTATAGTTCCACCAATTACTGCCCAAAATGCTAAAGCTTGTGAACCATACATACATCAGTAGAAAGCTATTTGATGTTAGCCTTTTCAATGAATTAAAGTTTGAGTAGCGTGTTTTGAAACACTATTATTTAACTATAATGCTATAACAAGAAAACTTACTCGTCGAAAGAACAGAAACATAAAGCTTAAGAAAAGAATAAAGAGAAGAGAACGAGATACAAGTTAACAAAGTTTGTCAATAAGAAACTTTTGGTAACAGTATTTTAAATTGTTATTGACCGTACATGCTCTTGTACTTGTGCTAATACTAATAGAACGAGAGTATGAATTCGAAAGGTAATAAAACATGGCATTCAGCTTTGTTGCAGATGGTTCCAAATAATAGGGTAATTTCATAAACCAACAACGATGAATCTACCAAATGCATTAATATTATCTAGTACTAATAGTTACTTTGTGTATGTCGGGGGGTCTTTGTTCAATTAAGCAAGTCTGCAATGACATAATAATTATTATCAATAACCTGCATGCTTATGATTAATATTGAGACAAGGTATAACTAAACAATCGAGTTGGTAAATTGAAAACAACGATTGTCTGATCCAACAGAATTCTCCCCCCATAATGTTTGATTTTGCATTTCTTATCCGTTTGATAAACCCATTCTTCTATGGCTTCAATTGTCTGGTTACAATGTTGCCCCTATCTGCATCCGCTAACCATAGATAACGACGAACAAATTACGATATCTTGAATCTACAAAGAAACTCCCTTGACTGAAAGAACCTTGTGTCCGATCTTCTGCTCGATAAAGCAAAAATGAGCAACATCTGGATCTTTATTTTTTGAAACATCTCCGTCATATTCATAATTAACCACCAACAATGTGCAATAACTTGGATTTACGAATTTTAATTACCACAACATGCAAATCAAACAGACAAACTTTCTCAGAACATTCTACTTGTCAGAATCATCTCTGCATGGACAAACATTTTGTGCCAGTTTGTGGTATGGAAAACCGCTTCTAATACATGGAAGGGTCACACCGAGTGAAAGGACATGACCGTCATTGCAACTACTGTGATAAGTATCACTCGGATGAAGAACGCCACACACATAGAATCGACGATTACGAAATCGGCCGAAATAATACAACAATTGTTCTACTTAATAACCGTTTATTGGCAGTGCGACCAAACGAAAATTAATGAAATGGACGACGACTTTACTGCAAATGGTTACCTTGGAGACAGTAGATGGTGGGTCGATTTCTCGGCGCCAAAAAAAAAAAAGGCAAGTCTTTATTACAAGCGCAGGACGAATAACCATATTTCCGGAATTGAATGAAACGGAAATGAAGCACAAAAAGGGTTCGGGTCATGATTTAGGATCGACAATGCATGGAAAAGAATAATAGGGAGTTTCAGGGTGAATATGGGTCAATCGTTTTCCGTTGCCTAGTACAAGGAAACGTGATATCGGAAAACGTAAAAATAATATGGCTACGGCCGTTACTTTATTGTGTTATGTAATGTAGTAATGTAGTAGTTGTGTTGTAGTAGTGTTGTTGTAGTAGTAGTAGTGTTGTAGTAGTAGTAATGTGTTGTTGTTGTTGTTGTTGTTGTTGTTGTTGTTGTAATGTGTTGTTGTAGTAGTAGTAGTCGTTGTAATGTGTAGTAGTAGTAGTAGTAGTAGTTGTTGTTGTTGTTGTTGTTGTTGTAATGTGTTGTTGTAGTTGTTGCTGTAGTGGTTGCTATGTTGTCGCCATCGTACTATGTTATTGTATTACAACAGCACAAGTGCTTGGTTTAATTTGTGCAATACTTATTTGTAATTCATAAATTTTGATTACTATTACTTGTTTCTAAACAGCCTGACTATGATACCTTCTTTTCTTTTTTACCCTGGCAAAGATCGGGAAGAAGCATTGGTAATACCGGAACAAGTGAGGAAATATGAATCATATAGTGTAATCCAGTCTGTACTCAGCGCCCTACATTCGATCTAGTCAATAAGGTGACTCGACATGTGAATGTTTTCAATTATTCGTAGTTATTATTAGTATCGGTAGTTGTAAGCTTGTGAGATGGCTGCGTTTGTTACAAGTGCAAGTAGGATAAGGTACGTTGCATGTATATATGTATGCTTTGGCAATACAGAAACACAGAGATGGTTTAAAAACAAACGACGCTAATCGAACAAGGTAATCAATAATCAACAATCAACAGAGCTCACCTGACCTCGAAACCTCAACAGAGCTCACCCATTTATGCAGGGATTGGCTAGACGACATTGATTACGCATGTGAAGCGATAATGAACGAGTAAATTAATCTCTGATACATTATATTCTCCATTTAGAGACGAAAATCGTAGTCAATGGGAAAAAAAAAAAAAGTAGGTGTCTAAAATATAAAAGGAAATGAATACGATTAATGTGATCCAAGGGGCGTAGGGGGTATCTGGTATAGGGAAAAGGACAAGTGGAATTAGTAAAACCAAATATCCGATTGACGGAAAGGGTAAATATTTAATATTCGATATTAAGGGTAGGTAATGAACAATTGTGGCAAACAGAAATATAGAGTTGTATTGATTATGATCACCAATAGTCAAATAAGCCGCTGTTATTTCAATGACCGAATGTCCGTAATGATCTCATTGAATTCTTATAACACGGAGACACTAGTTGCTACATAACATGCTCTATTCTATTCAAACCTTTTCTTGTCGAGAGAAATTAAACACAAATTGCATCATAGGCGCAAATCTTAAGTGTGTGTGTCACATTTATTTTAATTAATCTTTTTTTTTACCTTGCTTTTTTTTACCTTCCTTTTTAATTCTCAACTAATAACTTTATTTATTAATTTAATAATAATACTAATTATACCTGCTTCGTTTCACCTGATCAAACCCTTGGCAATAAACCCTATTTGCTCCCCGGTCGGCCTATCCCTCTATGCCATTTATTCTTATTCTTCGATTTGTCTTAACCATATATTCTTTTTTTTTTTTCCCTATTTTGCGATATATCCTAAGTTTTTGTTGTCCAAAAAGGAACGAGGTAGGGTATCTGATTAGGCAATCTCGAATTAACAATTCTATACACCGGGTTGCAGTTGATCGTCTATTGGTGTTCCGAGGAATATCAAATAGGTGCAGTTGAAATGCGAGAGAATAAGGAGAGTGAAAAAGAAAATGAGAAGCCGAGATATGAGGATGTCAGGTGACATGATTAAAGTATTATAGTGTATTATAGTCATCGTAAAGTATTACAGTCATCGTAGAGTATTACAGTCATCGTAGAGTATTACAGTCATCGTAAAGGATTACAGTCATCACAGTCATCGTAAAGTATTACAGTCATCGTAAAGTATTATCATCATAGGCATCTACATCATAGGCATCTACATCACCATTACTATCGTAAATGTCATTGCTATTACCATCATCACCGCCCATAATCAGCATCATTTATTATTATCATCAAAGTATCATTTAATTATCTCCATCATTATCATCATTATTATCGGCATCAATATCATTATCATCTCTTTTTTTTTTTCACTGTTGTGACCATTTGTCAATTATCTCGGGATAAGCAAGCCTTTGTCTTCTTAATTCTAATTGCGCTGATGACGTATTTTGAGAATAATATTAATAAGATTTTATTGTATTGATAATAATAATATAAAACTTTCTTTTTTCATTTGGAATTTTTACATCGCACATATCGCACATTACACACATTACATCGCACTTGCATCGCACATTACATCGTACACTGAATATTCTATTTATCCTAATATGATTGACAATACTCCCAATTTATCAAATTTCGTATCGGCTTCTGTTTATGGTAATATGGACTAATATCACATGATGAATTCACAAACCAATAAACTTGTCTTAATCTTAAATACCTTAAATATGTTATTACAATAGACAATATTATATCGGACAATCGTTTCTATTGTATCCTGTATATTTGCATATAAATATTTATATTACTTATATTACTCACACTATACATACTTGTGCAATCGACTATTCATTCTAATATGCGAACAAGAACTTCCAGTTTGTGTTTGCATCGGCCGCTCTTTGACTCTGCGCTGAAAAAAAAATTTACATAAATAGAGACACGAGTCGTCCACGCTTGCATCTTCTCTATCCTTTTACTTCATATTCATATAAATAATAATTAGGATAGTTTTATATACTCTTATATTTTTTTACCTTCCCCCCCCCCCCTTTACATAACATAACCCTTTACATAAAAACCCCATACAAAAAATTATTATACACATGTATAGCTTATTAGTATAGTAATATTAAATATAGTAGTTATATTAGACGATGGGCGACGATATCCTTGATTGCTCAGACATCGATTTACACATTAGAGTAGAACTTGAACCATCCAAACCCTCCCAAAGATACAAGAACAATAAATATTTCAAGAATGACAACAGAGACAATAAATATAAAGACATCAATGACGATTACAGCGATGGCATGGATGCATCATGCCAGTCTCCAAACTCCGTCACAACCCTCAACTCGCTCAACTCGCTCAACTCTCCAAACTCCCTTAAACCCACATCCCCCGTACCAACCTCTCACTCCCCCTCTTTCAATTCACTTTCGCCAACCCTCTCACCATCCTCGTCTGATTCCGAAGAGGACTATCCTTCCGACGATGACGATGACGATGACGACAACACCTTTATCGCTTTCGAACGGCCTCAATCTCGTCTAGATCGTCCAATGCATCCCATCCATGCTTCATCTCAATTCATCAGCATCGAAAATTCCTTCCTCAAAGTCCAAAACTGCACTCTCGAAGCTGAAATAACTCAAGCTCGCATCACTATCCAAGCCCTGAAGCAAGTCATCCAAAGTAAAGATGAAGCCTTACGAAAAGCTCAAGAGGAATATCAGGTGGCAATGTGGAGAATAAATCTATTAGAAGCTCATGTGATGAAGAGGAGTGCTGCAAAAGATGGTAGTTTTATATTGAGGAGCGAAAGTGAATGGGTCAAGAAGGCGGAAAACGATGATGCAAATAATAATAATACTAATGGTAATGATAATAATAACATCATCAACACAAACAAGTCCGAAAGTGAAAACAAATTTAGGATTAGCAGAAAAGATGCTATCAGTAATGTTTGGAAGGATGGCAACATGGGTGACAGGAGCGTGAAGGACTATTATCTCTTGTTGCGAGAAGAAAGTGAAAAACTCAAAAAGATACGTGACAAGCATATGACCGATGAAGGTGAGATTAGTTACTATTCTATCATACACGCATACACACACGCATACCACACGCATACATACACGCACACTAGGGCAATAATGCTAATCTATTCCTTTTTTCTGCTTTCCATCCCAGTCATCAACAAGAATGTTTTTGATGATTCCAATTCGGACGAGTATAGTGACTTGACTGGTTTGAGTAATCATACTAAATACTCGTCTGATCGGACAGTGGTAGAGGATGAAAAGGCCGATGAGAAATACTATGAAATAGAAGTCGATGTCCAATATAAACAATCTGATCTGCCTGAAACACAAGTGGAAAATCGCATGCTAACAGCTACTTCAAGGAAAAGTGGTCGTGCAAAGTCTGTGTCTTCTAAATCGTCAAAGTCGGTTCCAACGGCTACTTCACAGCAAGTGTCATCGAAACAAAAACGACGACAGCAGCAACAACAACAGCAACAACAACAGCAACAGCAGCAGCAACAGCAACAGCAACAGCAACAACAGTCCCAAGCTCGTCCTAAACAATATTTCTCATCTCAGCCAAAACCGACCCGTCGATGGTCCATAGCCTTTGCCCCCAAATCAACCAACGTATCTCCTCCCTTTTCGACATCTCTGCTGGCTACTCCTTTGACATCACCTCTATCTCCGTTCATACCAGCCATCTCTACGTGTCCTACTACATCTACAAAGGAAATATCGGAATTGACTGGAAGCTCCATGAACGCCACAGTAGCAACAACGAACGGAAACGAGACCGAAACAGCCAAGAAGAAAAAGATAAAAAATATCGAAAAGCAATTTGAGAAGAAATTGGAAAAGCTAAAAAAGTTGCATTTTCCTCGAGTTGCGTTTGGGAAATGCTCATTAGGAGAATTTGCAGATGGCATCTATTCTCCACCAGAGACGCCCGAACAAGGGGATGATGATGACAGTGATAGTGACGAGTATGACGATGATGACGACGAAAATGACGACGATTATGAAGATGAGGAAGAAGATGAAGAAGAGTCTGTTTACGTAGATGCGGACGATAGGAGCTATAGCTACAATGACGGTAATCGTAATTCCAATGCTAGTGGGAACGACATGTTTGTATCTGACGAACAAGAAGTAGAAGAAGAAGAAGAAGATATAGAAGAGGAAGAAGATGCAAACTCGTCGTGCTCTGAAGGAATAACGGGCGATGATAACAATGAGGATAACGCATATTCAAATCATAACGATTCCACATTATCTGTCTTGTCACATATCAGAAGCACAGAGTCTTGCGAGTATACGGGACAATCTGATTCTACGGTAAAGTCGGGACGAATGAAGAGAATCGGAGGGGGTAAAATGAAGAAGATATTGGGAATTTTATCAAAAAAGAGATAATAGTGTAAAAAAAATAAAATAAAAAGGATTGAGGAAGAGAGATGTGGAAAGGGAAGGGAAAAGGGTGGGCGCAGGAGAATTTAGTGGTGGTTTTAGTTTCTTGTAGATATAAATGTTTGGGTATATTTTATTTTTGTAGTTTTTTTTTTCCTTAGAATTAATCTCGTAAACTATTTTCCGATGTTCGATCTCTTTTAATTTTTTTTATACTTCCTATCGAATGGACTATTATTTTCTTCTCTTGATTTATCCCTCCCCCCTCGTTCTCTTCTTCGTGCTCTCGCACCGTGCTTCCCCGCCTTTCAACTTTTTTGCACAAGAGAGACGTTAAAGAATTGGAATCTATGAATGTTGTATGAATGAAAAAAATTGCAGGATTTTTATTATTTTGTTTGGGATATGCGATATATATATAATATGGTTATCTTAAGTGGATATGAAGATGGTGCTATGATTTACGGTCATTGTTATGTTAGAAGATATAAGAGTTATATATTTATTGTATTTATTTATGGTTTTTTGACTGTCTGATGCAAGGAAAGAACGGCAGCATCAGCAGCAGCGTATTAGTGGTAGTAGCAATTGGAATGGGTAATTAGTTGAGAAGGGCTTTGCCGTCGTTGTCGTCGTTGTTGTTAAAGAATCATACAATCTCTTCAACTTTTTACAAAGTAGTCAATCGCACGTGAATTAACTATCACTTGTATTTCTATTTGTGTATATATGTGTAGATAGTTGTTTTTTTACTTTATATTTTTTCCTCTATATATTTCTCTCACTCTACATCGCCTTTTCACTTTTTCTTTTCTTTTGCTTCTTTACATATATACTATTTTATTTTTTTCAATCTGGTGGTGGATGGATTATTTTTTTTTCTTTATACCTTCATCGTTTTGTCATCGTATACTTTTTTTTTTTCCCTCTCTCCCCTATTATTTCTTGTTACACACCATTTGATTCTGCTGGCAAGGGATCTCAGTCCAATGACTGATTAGTATAACAACACACAGTTTTGTATAACATTTTCATACACCACACAATAATTTAAATAGTTGATGCATGCGATGCACGTTCATCTGGACGATGATAATAGCTGTATCGTCCCCTCTCTTCTACTTTTCTTAATTCTTGTTTCGTGTGTATAGTCGATGTCTTTTTTTGTTTGTATGATATGGGTTTCATTATGTTGTATAGGAATTCATGGTTATAAATATTTCAACGTGGAATAAATTGGACATTTTCTAAACGTATGCTGTGTTGTGTGTGTGCTGTGATGAGTGGTATTCGCAATATAAATAACGTATATCAACGGCTATACAGTATATAACGGCCGTTGATATACGTTATTTATATTGGCTAATTATATCTTAGCAGTATATTTTTGATGTATACTTTTATAGTTGTATTTATAATTATCTCATGCCCACCGTTGCATAAACAAGTCGCTGATCAGGAAAAAGTTTTATTTTGAATAACAATATCCTTTTCGGTATTAACAGTGGGAATATTTTGGTATTGGGTGACTTGGGTTAATGATTGCCTCATTTAGACATAAATCCGTGGAAAATATTTGATCACTATTTAAAGGGGTCAAATTACGTTCGTGTAATGTTATTTGTGGCAACAATTTTGATAATCTGCTGATGATCCGCAGAAAACAATGGAAAAAAGTTTTTTATCAATAAATAAACTAAGCTTTTAGTGTAGCATGACAATAAAGTATAATTAAAAAATTAACAAATAACAAACTTAATAAAAAATTTTTTATCTCCCTTGAGCATTTATAGTATAATTAAAACAAAAGAGGAAAATTTTTTTTAATCGAATCAAAAAGAGGCTAATAATTTATCCAAGTTTTTTTATAGATATTATAGCAACATGAACAAACTCATCATACAAAGAAAGTTATGAACGTGTGACTTGACACTTGAGAATCGATTAGGCCAACCTTTACCAACCTTTACCAACCTTTTATTGCTTTCCACATGTTCTTTATAGAAAAGTAAAGAAAAAAGGTTATTAGCATGTACCACCGTCTCCTCGTTGGTGAGAAATTTGGGCGCAATAAATGCTCCCCGAAACGGATGGCGTACAAGCAACGATTCTGGGATTCGACTATACCAATTCTGGTTAAAACATAAACTACAATTTTCTCGTGCATCTAATTTAACCCAGAAAGCGAAATAAATTGGGTGCGTGCTTCTTTTTTGCCGCGTTCTCGTAAAGATTACATGGATAGCGTGCGTCTTTCACGTGAGTATGCATAAACAGCGTGGTGGGAAGGGCAATCTTACATATTATTACAGCTAGTCTGGTATTCCGACTGTATTTCAAATGTATTGAGCAAGTGATGAGTGTTATTGCGTATTGATCACTATCGAGAGCACTAAATTTTGGCTAAATTAATATGCATACCCACATTAATTGTTAACCAAATTATCTATAGGTGTGCAATCGATAGTAGTAACCAATATAGTACATCTAATAATACGTCATCTATGTATGCTAGTTCTTCTTCTGAACAATAAAGGTATAAAGCTTACCATTTTACTTTTCGGGCTTACGCATTCTGGTCAAAGCCTCACCTATTACATTCTATCAATAAATGCTAATACTTAGAGTAATTAGTAACCTTAAACAAGGTATGTGGGAAACATTAAATAATCCGCAATCCCAATAAATCGACCATGTTAATTGTGCAATCACAAACCTTTTTTATAATCGTTTCCAACTTTCTCAATGAAACGTTTCGCTTGCTAATTGCTACTACTTGGCTAATACTTACCTAGTTCTATATTTTTACTGCAAAAATCTCTCCACTGGCTGCAATTGATTGAATCTCTTCGAACAACCAATGCAACAATGGCATCTAGCCGGAACAAGTAACGCCTGGAATCTCCAACATGTGCCATATTGTGAATTTGGCTTCAAATAGTTTAAGTCTGCATAAAAGCTTGGAATTTAATTCTCTCAGTAAATCAATTTTTGCCAGTTATATCCAAAAGTTATTCACACGAAAGAATGTTTAAATGTATAAATCGCGTTAATGTGTCTTTATAATCTATCTACATAATTACGCTTATCTATACCCATTGTCTGTATCAGACAAAACCAACACTATCCTGCAATCCAGTTTCAGTTGTTAGTCAAAGACATGCTGAACGTTATGTTGGTTCAGTCATGGTTGCAGATTACAAAGTCAGAATACTTATTGACAGGATTGTATTTGTTTCATTATCACTTGAGGGTTATGGTGGAGGTAATGAGTCTTTTTATTATGAGTTATTGCATTATCTGAGAAGCTTGTGAGTTATACTTGATAACCTTTAATGGGAATGCGTAGACAACAGAATCGTTTATGTTGAATCCACCACGATGAACTTATAATACGATGCTAAATAATAGGATAAAGAACATGTTAAGGCTTTTTTTCAAAAGTAAAACCAAACTAGGTGATAAGATTTGCCACCTTAAACGCGATCATTATTTTGAACAGTATCAGCTAGGTTCTCTAGATCCAGTCATGATTGAGAATTGTAAATTCTCCAAATTAACTAACATGATATTTTCAAAGCCCTGAATACACAAAAGTGTACCCGATTACGTAATATATGAGTCACTGGTTACTTTTGCGCAAATACTTTTTAACTAGCTGGTAGGTCACGTCAATTGCCAAAACTTGGAGACGGGTTATTTTTATCGATTGCATTATGAAACACCTAATATTGAGTGTGAATAACCTACAATCATGTAAATAATGTAATTATATTACTTTCACTCCCGAAATCAACCTTCATGTTGAAGAACAACAATTCCCGTTAAGATGATGGGCTATCTTTCATGTTTGTCTCCTTTCACCAGAACTACCAGGTTTTACAATTAAGTCTAAACACGTGTAATGACTAGATAATTTTCAATGTCAATAAACGTATCTCATCAATCAAACGCGTATTTTGTTGAGTAACTTCAATCCTTGAAACAGATAAAGAATTTTCTAGCAAAGTGTTTTCCTATAATGCAAGTTAGTAAATACACCTGCTCGTTATAAATTTGCCGTAATTAAATTCTGTACTCAACTGCGTAGCCACACTTCCATGTTTCCCAAAACTACGTACTTAATACTGTGCATTACAGATTCTGTTTTGACTCACCTAAGCGTCGCATACTTTTAATAGCCTTTCAAGCACAGTCTTTTGGTTGAAAAAGAAAAGTAGAATTTTTTTTGAAGAACATTTTTGTGGAAAAGAAATACCCGCATTTCCCTCTGTCTGATACGAGAGCATCCGTATTAACTACACTATCCCTAATTCCAACAATTATTTAAGAGGCATCAAAAACTTTGACATTAACGTTAAGATCACCATATTTGGCGATAAATTAATCTTATTAATAATTGCCGCAATTAAGCGATGACAAAGTGGCAGTTTCTGTATACCATACGTATATGTTCCATATGCAATATGCTAACTTCTTAATGCAATCCGCTTTTGCACATTCTGTAACATATTCTTGCTCATATAGTAATAGGCATTACGGGAATGCAAAGCGATCAGAATTATGTACTGCGTTACAAACAACTTGTAATATGTCCGTAATAACCCGAGATTGAGATTTCGTCTGTTGATTGATGGAGTTGTTATTATTATTACTATTGCTACTGCTTAATCAAGCAAGTTATGGAAACACAAGATAATCTAAATTAAACTCTGCGTCATTAAATTAGAAATCGGAGGATAATTACCCTTCCATCGATAATAATAATCCAAATACCAATTGGTCTTAACGGTTGGTTAGATAAGCCAACCTGAATTACGAAAATAGGGTTTGAATAGTAATAGCAGATAGCAGAATAAACCGGATGAACCCCTGAAAATATTTGTGACACTTTATCAGACGATCTTTAACTTGTCCATTATGCCTATATCAATATTATCGTATTGCACTTTCCTTTTTCCCTTCCTGCACTTTGCTGTGTTCAATTCCTGCATCTTAAATGTTCGTCCAACACACTCGTTTTATTGTCTTTCCAAACAAAAACCTAATACAACATTTTCTCCTAGTCACAACTTAGTAAAACTAGATTAACCCAGTTAAACATCCGGTTTACCTGGATGACCAACTTGTGACACTAACCTGCTACACTTAAACCCTAGTTTGCACCTGATTGTGTTTGTATAAGGATTACGTTAGCAAAGAAAGATGTTGATGGCGAGATGTGCATATAAATAGATATGTATTCTATTACTATGTACCAAATCATAATAAATTATATTACTATTACTGATAAGCAAAAATCTGTATATGTACTAGTACAATAAATAGTATTAGGGACGGATTTTCCGTCACCTATAGTCGTTTATGATGACGTCACCAAAGCATTGTTAAGTGCCCACTACGGCACTTCGCTATAGAGGAGAGAAATATTGTATATTAATGATATAACCAATTACAAATAGCACAGATTTCACTGGAACAATCAAATATA